ATACTGGTAGGATTTTAAAAGTGTTTTTTTGAAAGGATTTCACAGATTGAGAAGAAACAGCATTATTCCAACCAAAGAGCAAAGCAGGCAGATTAGCGTTAAGCTGGTGGAGAAGTTTAAAACATGGTTAAATTGTAAAACAACACCTAACATTTTATATCTCTCAAACAGATCATCTGAAGAATTAAAAGAGACTAAACTAGAGACTTGAAAAGACATGGGTGACTACCTGAACTTAGAGGAGATATTTATCAGACAAACAGGAGTGTTTCGGGAATCTTTGGAGGAGCTGCAAGGATCCATATCTCAGGTGAGAAAATCTGTTTAGAGGACAAGTATTTAACATGGGCTCCATCAAACTGTACTTTTTTAAGCTAGGGAAGAAGAAAAATGTTGTTTACAAGAGCCAAGCAGAGGACAGAAAACACACAGGATGGATCTCTGGTTATATTAGACAATAATAATAATAATAATAATTATTATTATTTTGCAAAGCTCCATTTATTATGGATAACTAATGATGACAATCCCTCATAATAATAAAAAAATAATAATAATGTAGCAGCATCATGACTTTAGGGTGCTTTGCTTCAGTAGCGACAGAGATGTTGGTCAGTTTATAGGAAGGTGAATAAAACCAAATGCAGGGTAATCCTAGAAACAAAAAAACGAAACACCAATCAGGGGCTGAAAAATCAATCTCCCTTTTCATCAGATTGATCTTGACCCCCTTTGCAAACAGGAATGACCATAGTTACCAAACAAATGCACGCCACACTTCAGACATTTCCGTTTGTAGGAGTACAAAGTAAAAACTAAGCATCCTGTCCTTCCACTTTACAATAATGCACCTCTTGATGTGGTATTAAAATGAAATATTCCAAAATTGAACAACATTGAATTTACTGGATTTAGCATATGAAACATTAAAAAAAGTAAAAAAAAAAGGGGGCACAAATACTTTTGGATAACCCTGACTTCCTTCCAAATCAAGTCCACCTCAGCCATCCTTTCCTGTAGAGTGGGGAAATTAACCACCAAATAGTTATGATCCACCAACACAGTGAAGAGCAAATCATTATGCATCATTAGGTGAAGATTTAGTTTAAACGTGTTTAGCAGGAATTAAGCAAAGCTGCTGTTGACATGGATTGACTGCTGTAATACTTTATTGTCACTGCTCCAGGAGGCAGAGCCGCCCAGCCTGGATGGGGGAGCGGAAATGTGCCGAAAGCAAGGATTTATGGGATGTTAGGAGGAAGAACTAGATGTGGACGGGCAGGACATGATGGCTGATGATATATAGAGGAAATAGAGAAGTGAACAGATGTTGGCGATCATGTGGAAATAGTATTTTCGTATTACAAGCTGTTCAAGAATTTTTTCTTACATTATGAATGTTTTTTCTTTCCAGTTAAGACACCTGACCTACAGAGCTGGTGCTTTAAACAACTGGTTCAATATAAATACCTTATCTTATACAGAAAAAATACGAATTTCAGTACAGTACAATTCAAAAATACTTTATTAATCTCAAAGGGAAGGGAAATGTTGCAATAATTCATAGGGTTTTTTTCTTTTTTCATTGAGTTGTTGTAGGATCTTCTGTAACTGTCTGTCTTGCAACGGATCTGGAGAAGCCTCTGACTGAAGAAACGTTTTTTGTTTTCTTTAAAAATCTTCTGAAGAGGATGCTTACTTATGTTCTTTATGAGGAAATCTTCTTTGTGAAATGATCTCCAGAGCGTCTCGTGGAGTTCCTGGAACAGAGCTGGCCTTTTGAGTTTTTTTTTGTGGATGACATATATATTTTTTCTTAAATGTTAAAAGATTAGTCTGTGTTTTTTTTATTTTAGATCATATAAAAATAGAAATCTGAAAATGCAGCTTGCATTTCAGCATTTACAGCTGCAACTAAATGTAGAGGATGACATACGGTCCATAATTGCTCAAGTTACGTCAGGGTAGAAGGAGGGTGTCAATAAACATAAATTTTTACATTTCAGCATATATTCTCAGTTGCATTAGGCTTTTGATTTTGCTGCAGCTTACCTCTGGTTGTCTATTCTATATTACCCTCCACCAGGAATTCCTTCTGTCTGTCTGTCCCGTATTTACCCCAATCTGTGTACCCAAGCTGCTCCCTGCTGAAGAAAACGGCAGTGTTTCATCTACACAGCATGATGCTGCCACCACCATGAAGACACAAAAACGGCATTTTCGGATCTTCCAGTGCACCGTGTTTTATGCAGAGCATTAATCTTCCAGCTGAGCTAAATTGTTTTATAAGCTTTAAATTGCTGTGTTCTTTGCTTTTCATGATGCAGTTTGTTCTCTAAGAAACCTCTCAGGTCTTCCCAGAAAAGCTTTATTCATACCAAGGTTAAATTATACATAAGTAGATTCTATTTACCCACTGGAGGACTGGGGCATATTGACCAGATTTCTGTAGCACTGGAGTCTTTATGTTTCCAAACGAGTATGCAAGAGTTGCTCAAACTGATGATTAAGTGGGTACAGTCTTATCCACCTTTCCAGTGTTGACAATATTACTAATCTCTTCCACCTGCTCAAACACCCACCCCACCCCACCTCAGAAAAACACATCCCTCCACCTCTTCCATGAGCCCATACTGGGAGTCCCCAAGGCCACGCTGCGCCACTGCCTCCGTCTGCACGCCAGTTATCGTCCCTGGCCGGGCTCCGCTCTCCCAACCCCTTCCCGAGTTACGAACATTAATCGCCGCAAAACAAATAGTTTTCAAATGTTTGGAAAATCCCCACTGTTTGCATCAGGGCCTAACAAAATAATTTTTACAAGCTATCTAGTTGTGATTAGGACTGAGAGAATTGAATTTATGTGGCATTGATAATATTAATATTAGCCTAATTAATTATGTTGTTTGAACTTGCACGGCTCTGTGTGTACCTTCTACACAACACTAACCAGCCGGCGCTGGAGCTGAGCTCTGAGCCGTCTCTATCTCCCCAGCTCTCCCCCAGTTCATGACTACTGCACACAATTCATCAGCTCGTACCGATCTAATCCCCTCCGGCTCTGCTCACTTCCTGAAGTCTGAGACAGAACTTTACTCTGGTGGCAAGAATTCCTATGAATACTTGATGACTTCTACAGAAAGGAGGAGTGTTTCATCTCACTTTGAAAGTGACATTCACAGAGAAAGACTGAAGCCAACTTTCTATTCACAGATTTCAAAATATGGGGAAAAAGTACAGAAATTAATAAGAAAATTCATCTTTATTGAATCAATAATTGCAGTAAACAGTATTACAATGAGAGCGGTAAATAGTTCCAGGCATCAGGGGCTCGGGGTTCCTTCTGCTTGTGCAGAGGGCAGTTAATGTGGACCTCTGGTAAGCCATGTGTGAAGAAGTGCCTTTTAAATTTCATTTGTTTCCCTAATCACTGGAGATCAACATTTTGGCCTCCTCTGACCCAGAAATGCTTCAGATCAAATGAACAATGTCTCGGACTTTGCACAACGCTGAATGAGCAAGTGTTGATCTGTGCAATTACAGAGACGCATACTCAGTGACCCATCGGAGCCCTGATCCATGAGGAGACCACCCAAACCCTCTAGAGGGGGGTATTCTCACGCCCGTTTGTTGCTCAGCTCAAACCACTGCTATGATGACCTCTTGACTTCTCCTTTGAGATGAAGAGGTGAATCATTTGACTCATCTGTTGCTGCGTCCCTCCAAAAAACAGGAAAGTCTGTCTCACCTGCCCTATTAAGTGCAAAGCACCACCAGCTCAGTTAAAATCGGCCCTTTGAACCAACTTTTTATTAGAAAGGCGGGGCAACTAGTGTTATGTGGCTAATAAACAATTATAAGATTAATAATTTATTGTTTTAGGAAAACATTCAATTTGATATTTGAAAGCCCCTAAATATACAACAATTTGTTAGGATAGTTACTTAAGCTGTTTTAAGATCGCTGTTATTTCCTTGAAATCATTATTAAATATCAATATATATATATTTTTCGACTGACATAGCTTCTATGAATTGGTTTAATCTGTTTGTGAGTCCTTGAATTGATGCAATGATGATTGAACGCAGTGAACTTTTGAATATTTTGTTATATTGCTGCAATAAATACAACATAATATTGTAATGAATTTTAATTCAAAGCTCATTCATCCCCCACTTTGTTTAATGTTAACATTACATAAACTGCATTACTAATAAATAAAGCTTGGATGTTTAATAAGAGTAAAAAATAATCCATACAGTGTTAGTCTGAAGTGAAATGCAGGTTTTAGTGACACATACCTGAGTTAGAGCTATACCGACCGCTAAAAACTGAGATAATAATCATGATGATTAATGCCTTACTAAAAACTCAGACTTTATTTTCTACTCAACATAAGGTGCGGATGTAGACTGGGTGTGTTGGAGTTCGGGTTTATCTTTGCAATGTTTTATTTTCACCTCAGAAACTGGCACATAGGGGAAAGCAGCAGGTTATGAGTTGCAGTCGCTCCGGTTCTTGATGTCCCTTTTGGAGCACAAGAATCAGCCATGGCTCCATCTTCAGTTTGGTCAGACTTTCTGTTTTTTCTACATTTCATCAAAAGTAATAAGTCTTTACCATATGAAGTTAAAAGTGCAGAGCTGATGTCTGATTTAATCAGCCAAACTGATCGGAGTCTCTCCCTTTAAAGCTGCTTTAATCCTGTGCCCAAGTCCAACTCAAGAACTTCAATATTTGGCACAAGCAAACAAAAACAAAACAAAAATTTTTTTACGCAAGCGCAGACATAAGTAATTCTCTTACCACATTTGTCATAGATTAGTACTTAAAAACAATATTTCAAGATCAAAGAATGCTTAAATTTCATCCTTTCACAAAGTAATGAAAAAAAAGGTAAAATTCCCACATTCAGACAGCATTGGCTTTCCAGTCATTTTGATCTATTTTATGGATGCAAATCAAATGGCAATTAGTATTTTCTGGATGTATCATTCGTTGTGTTTTTTTTTCCCTGGACGGAGAACAGTAAGTCTTTAAAGAGTCATTAACTGAAATGTCGGGCCAGTCTGGCTGAACGGTAGTCCACTCGGAGCTGGACGAAGGCGTGCAGTAGGTTCCGATCCAGATTGGTCAGATGCTCACCTGAGCAGACCTGCTTCAGGTTGTCAGGGGCAACTACCAGCAGGTTACAGAGAGCGTGGAGGGTATCGAAGAGCTGCAGCACAAGAGGAACCTGAGAACAGACAGGCCAAAAAAAGATGAACATCTTTTCGATCATGTCTTATACAGCTGCATCTACATCAGGTTATGTTGTTTAATTAAATGAAATTCAATTTTGTTTCATTCAATGAATGAAAAAGTCAAACTTAAAATAGATTCATTACATACAGTGTAAATGTTAGGCGTTTTATCTGTTGTTGTTGACAAATATGGTTTACGCTTAATGATAGAAAACTAAGTTCTGTTTTCCAGCATCAACAACAGCTCAGCTGAAGGGCTGAATCATAACATATGAATGAAAGTTTGAGTAGAAGGAGAAAGTTTGGTGAAGAAATTAAAAAATGCCTGGGATATGTTTGCTGCATTCCTCATGTTGTTCCACTTTAGAGGCAGAGATACAACAGAATTGTCTTAGTTAAGGGAAAAATAACTGAACCGTTACCGTGTGGTCCACAGTTCCTTCTCCAGTTGAAAGACCAAACAAAAACATTTATGAACTTGGAAAATCGAAGTTCTAAGAGTTTGAAAGGAGACTGAAGAGGTACAGGATCCATTCTGATTGAGACCCAGAGTGAAGTTTGAACGGTCGGTGATAATTTGGGGAGTTGTATGAACCGCTGGGGTTTGTTCACCTGGTTTGATCAAGGCTACAGTAAGAGCAGCTTTCTACCAGCGAATCTTCTATCATCCTATGCTTCCCTCTGTTAAAAAGCTTTATGAAGATGCATATTCCTGCTTCATTTACGCTGATATCCCTGTATTCCACTGGCCTGACCTGTAACCCACCAAGAATCCACAGAGTATTGAAAAGGGGAAGATGAAAGACATCGAATCTGACATTGGAATAGAGATGAAGGTCAGTGAAGGTCACAACATGAGTTTAATGAACACCTAATCAGACACAGCCTGAATGAATGCCTCCATACCATAGTTTTACAGTGGGTGGCATTCCTTAAGTAGGCTTGGATTTCTGCACATTTTTAATGAACTTTTATATTACCGGTACTCATATTTGCTGAAACACAGATTATTTTTTTCTTTTCCTTAGTTGTAAAATCCTTAGAACATCAAACTCCTTCTGGGTCTAAAGAATATATATATAACCTGAGATCACCTTAAATGGAAAAACAATAATAAGTTAATTTCATCAAAAGCACCTTAATGTTGGTTTTTAACAGAAATAAACATTTTGAAGATCAGTTCAAAGAGCTTAACCATGTTTAACACCATGCTTGCCCTGTGAGTATTTCCATTTCGGACGTCTGTCCCTTCACTCACCTTGAAGTCCTTGGCGCACCGTCTGTATTCAGCCACGTCACAGATGGCCAGCATGCCTCCCATCGAGCTGTAGCTGAATTGCTGTAAATGCTCATGGATGAGTCTGTGAAAACGAATGCCCAGCTCCGTCAGCACGGTGTCTACGTTTTTCCCATCCATGGACTTCCGAACGTGGTCCACCTGTCGGCTGACGTAGGCGCAAACCTTGGAGCAGGCCTGCCAGATAAACGGGGGAAAACAGGGACAGCTGAGTAACTAATCATCTGTAGTTTAGGAACAAGATGTGTTGCGTTTTGCATGAGAGCTCAGGATCTCTTACAGTAGTGTACTGGATCATGACGTTGTTCTCATCCTCGGGCCTAAAATCGGTTTTCCTCTGCTCTGTTGTCAGGATGTGCTTCATCTGACCCACCATGCAGTTTAAAGTTCTATGTGCAAAAGGAAAATGCCTCAGAAGAATAAAAGTGTTTCCATTTCCACAAAGAGAAAAGTATATTCTTATTACCTTACTTCACAAAAAAAAAAATATACCAACCTATCAATTCCTGTGTCCAGTTTTACTTCCATCTGTTCAATCACCTCCTTCTTCTTGTGCAAACACTCAGCCAACTTTGGAGAGGAGCTGTAGACGGATTACAGAGAATATTTTGGGTAAATTGAAAATGATTCTGTTCTTATGAGAAATAATTGTTAGATGTTGTCTTTTAGGTGTAGCTGACCTTATTAAGGGCATGAGCTGGTCATTAAACTGCTTGTCAAACAAATGGAAGATGGAGTTTGCTTGTTGAACCACATCCAGGAAATACAAGTTGGCATTTTTTGCATCAGATGAGGGAATTGCTGAAGGGAAAAGAGGAGGGAAAAAAAATCATGGATAAAAGTATAACATAGGCATTTTAAAAGGGGATGATGCAGCATTATTTCAGCCATTTCCCATTATTTTAACAGCTTATTGTCTCAGATAACTGCCCAGGATGAAAAACCTCTTCAGTTTGTCTGGAGCCGACTCAGCGTAAGAACATCCCGGTTAGAAAGCAGGATCATGTAACATGAAATCACCAACTCAGACCTAAATTATCCCGGCACTTTCTCTTCATTTTAACCCACAACTTTCCATCATATTGAAATTCTATTCTCCTCAAAGTGACACATTCAGATGAGAAATAAGCTAGCAGTCATTCATTCTTATACAGTTAAAGGTTTAATTCCAACAATTTTAGCAAAACAAAACAACAACTTTATAAAATACATCTATTCTATAGAAAGTTAACCTGCTTTCTTTACCTTAATTTTATTTTAAGTATTCTGAACTCAAAAAAATATTTTAAGAGACATAATGTTCAAGTTTCTGTTTTTTTCAAATGTTTCTGTACATCTACTTCTGCTTCAAAAAGCCAATGTTTTTTATTGAGAAAGCTACTAAACGAAATATAACTGCCTTTAATTCTGTATAATTCTTAACAGCCAGTCTGCAAACAAATCAACTCAGAGTTGGATCTGCTGAAGGTTTTTCTGTTAAAATTGAGAAATTCCCAAGGACAGGTTGGGACTCTTCTTCTGACTGCTTCTTTAGACATTTTACAATTTTTTTATTTTTATTAAGATTTTAATATTTGAACCTGTGAAAGCCGGGTCAAGGAATAAGCCCTCCGTACATGGATTGTTTGCTTAATCCCTGCACCGATTTGATTTTACAACTCCAAGAAAATTAATAAACAACTTTGAAATCATCAATCAAAGTTTCACATTGAGAAATGACAAAGAGAGTAAGTCGGCTGCAATGACCAAGCATGTCTGGAGGAGTTACGACGAGGAACTCCAACCAAAGAGCACTGTACCAGCTGTCGGACATGGTGGTGGCAGCATCATGCTGTGGACATGGTCTACTACTGCCAGTGACATTGGTGTTTTGCGACAAAATTAAGTGTTATTCCACAGCAACAATCCAAATAGACAGCAATATTAGTTTTTGATTGTTGGAAGAAGCCAGATATTGAATTTCTGGAATGGAAATTTAAAAGCAGCAAGTTCAAGCCCCTTAAAAATGCATGTTTTTAGCTAAAAAGCAAAGCCTGTACCAGAAAACAATTAAAACAAACTGTACCCTTTATGGTAAAAAGAGTGGTAAAAAATGTTACATATTTAAAACAGTTTGTTGAAAAAATAACCATGGCAATAACCCAAAGCACATACATAATAATAATAATAAATAACTTGATTGATTTCACACTAGCGTAATTTAACTTTAACTTTAACCGTAATTTAACTTTTAACCTTGGAGAGCAGTTGGCTGCCAATGTGCGGCGCGCAGGGAGCAATCGGGGGTTCAGGGTCCTGTTCAGGGATCCAGAGTGCAGGCTGTGGGGATCGAGCCAGGCACTTGAAACCTTCTCAGAGCACAAGTGCACCCCTAGGCCCATACTCCCCCTAATCAACAACCAAGTTCTGGACTTTTATAAGTCTTTTGTTGCCCAATCAGTTTAGATGATTCTTTGATTCCTGTTATTATGTCGTAAACATTTTGCTGTATGTAAAAGCAAACAGACATGGCGGTTCTAATGAAGACAGATGGATGTACCTGCCAGGCCGATCTCCAAGGCATAGTCAATGTGCTCTACACACAGATGTTCAACCAGCAGGAGGAAGATAGAGAAGGCATTCTTGGGCAGATCAGAGGGATCTGAAAGCTGTGTCACAGTAGAGGGGAAAAAAAGAAATTAATTTGAATAGAAAACATGCACCGTTAGTAAAATGCACTTCAGAACAAAGCAGAGAACATTTACCCGGTGACACCTCTCGAAAGCATGGCGGGTCTCCTGTAACAGGTTCACAACCAGTTCCGGGGACAGGAAGGTCTCCCCATGGGTGTCAATACTTGGACCCAGTGACAGATTGGTGCGTTGTCTGATCCGCTCCTTCAGCTCTTGAATACTAAACAAGGACAACAATTAGCTAATTTTCAGCAAAACAGAAAAATTTAATTTTGTATAAAAAATCTTGAGGTGTAAATCTGACCTGCCAGAACCTAAAGAACGCTTCTGGTGGTTCTTGGAGTCATAGTATCGCTGCAGGATCATAGCACCCCGAGTGCGAAGGTATTCCCTTTCCATGTCAATGTAACTTTCCAAATAAGAGGAAAAAATGCTCTTTATCAGCTTGGACAGGAACGTGTGCTTATCTGAGCCCAGGTTGTATTCTCCCAGCTTTGTGGCCAACGCTGTGGTCCTAAAAATATCAAGATGTAAATGAAGTGTGAGGAACCACATAAACTAAAAGCCAGAAAACAGCAAATGAACAGTGCTTTACCGGATATAAAGGTCGTAGAGGTTCTTTAGGTACTGCTCCACATCTGAATGTCGGGTCTCGTCCAGTTTTCCCCTAACATGAGCCTGTTTGAATGTAGGAAGTTAAAAACAAGCCCAAACATGAATGTATGAATGAATCACTGTGAAATTACCTGAAGCTTGTTTTCAAAGATGTTTTGGATGAGTTTGGCCATGACTGTCTCTGGACTGCTGAAGACCTCGCCCACTTGCTTGTTGACCCTCTGGCAGAGGGCTGCTGTGTCCTCAAACACATCATTCCTGATGTAGGCGCCCTAAGACGGATAAACACAAACAGAAAGGAGCATATCAGTCATTTTTACCAGGGGCAAAAACAAATGGACAAACATGTTAAAAAAGAAATCGAACTCGTACTTCCTGACACTGCTTAATATAGACGTCCACACAGTGTGCATAACCCTTCAAAAGAAAGACAAAGATATTAAAATACTTACTGGCAACATCTTGTACTACATACATCATGTGCCACTTAAATGAAACACATGGAATAGAAGAACAGGCAACAAATATGTTTTTCTACCTTGAAATGTAGAAGAACCGCTGCAACCTCCCGCATGCGACCGATTTCCCCTCTGCGCTGGGCTGCGGTAAACTCCTGGATCAACTGCCGCTCCAGGTCATGGTATTTACCTAGACCCCAATAAAACAAAAAACAGTATTAGAAGATACTTCAAACCTTCACTACTTTTAAAAGACAATAGAGGGTAAATGTCATAAGAAACATACTTGCTATTTTTGCCTTGACATCTGCAAACCTGTCGCACAGAGGGAGCATGAAAGACGTTTATGATTAGTGAGAATATCTCCTTAGATGATAAAACTTTAATTGCAGTATACCTTATGTGCTCATGAACTTTTTCATAATTTTGTCACATTACAGGATTTTTTCGGGGTTTTTTTAAAATCAGGATTGCATGTGATGGAGCAACATAAAGTAGTAGATAATGTTAATTCGGATGGAAACTGAGACACAGCATTCTTCCTTATCTGAAAGGCCGGGTAATAGCTGGGAGCTAGGAAGTCCATTCTGACCATAGAAGAGGTACAGAGATCCACAATTCAGGTCCTAATAAAGGTCCTAAAATCTGTTGGCCAGACCGCCTTCAGTTCTATGCTGCAAAATGTTGATTTTTGAAGAGTGGGAAGTAGATAAAAAATATAATGTGAAAGGCCCTGTTTGCCCCAAGTCCTGTAGGGTAAACAGCAAATAGGTAAGAGAATGGGCTTTGGTCAGATAACAGCAAATTTGATTATTTATTATGATTATTTATTTTGGGCAAACATACAAAAAGAAAAAAATTGGCCTTTCCATCTAAACATAGCAAACACTGTTGTTGGGAGGATCAATCTGTATGAATTTGAGTATGTTGGCCAGAGTTGGAGCAACATAAAAGGGCATCCCTGGGTCTCTAAGAGTTTGGGAAAGACCAGGGACAAGTTAGAGGTTCACCTGCCAGCAGAGCAATGACACTACAACATATAGAGCAGGGGTAGCAACCTGCAGCTCCCTGGAGCTTTTTCAAAAATTTATGAAAATGGAAAAGATTAATTTTTTTTTATATGGCCTACAGGAGGTCCAAAACATTCATTATGTTTTCCAATGCTGTAAAAATGTGTATAATAAATACATTTAAACAATAAATGTAAACATTTCTGTTAAAGATTGGCATCATAGCCTGCAACACAGGTTTCAGCACGGCAGTGGCGGATGTATCTTGGACCTTGGATCTCAAAGGGAAAAAAGGAAGATAGCTGATGAATGGATCTCTTACTTTAGTGTACAAGATTCAAACAAGAATGGACCGATTTATTTGCTTTAATGCCAATACGGAAGGATTTCCTGCATGTTTGGTTTGTAATGAAAGGGTGTCAAGTAATGAAAAAAAAAAAGCGTAGTTTGGAAATGCATTTCTAGGGAAGGCATCAATATGCTGACCATCAAGTTGAGAGGGAGAGAAAAAGTTTGATCATAGTACTCCTGGATAAGTTAGAGAAGCACAAAGTTAGAGTTAAAAGTGGCTGGCATCTCCTAACTCCACTACTGCTGTAAGTTTTGTTGCAAGCATTAAAAAACTGTCAACAGATCGAATTTGATGCAGGTATGTGAACTTTGTTCCATTTTTTTCCTCCAAATTCTCAAAGTAAAAATAACACCAAAATAAGACTTTACTGTGTTTCTATAATTTCATCAATGCAACGTAAGCTAATACATTAATATTGTAACAGAATTTAAACTTATAGCACCAAATATCGTACAGTGGAGCAGCCACATGAAGTGAGATTTGCTCCAGGATCAACATTTAATCATGAAAGCTTATATATATTTAAGCCCATGTAGTCCTTTTTTATAGTGGGATAATACACTTCTACATTTTTGTGGCTCCAGACAGATTTGGGTTTTTTTTGGTCCAATATTTGAACAGTTTGGGTAGCCAACCCCTGATATAGCATGAAAAACATTTGGTTTAGATCAAAGTATATTCATTTGTATGAAGTGTTGCACCAGTCAACACCTGAATCTAACTAAGAATCTGTAGGAAGAATTAGAACTGATGTACTCAATCCAGTCAGACTGAGTTTAAGATATTTTGCATTGAAGAATGAGCAAAACAAAACAAAACACTGTCTTAATGTGTGAAGCTAGCATATGCAGCATATGAATCTGTAAATGCAGCAAAAAGAGGACAGAGTTTGACTTGGGAAATATTTTAAAAGTTTTACAAAGACTTATTTCTTGTAGTTCCATCAACTTTACAATAATCTTTGTTTGTTTTTTCAAATCACATACACTCCAGGGAAATACAACAAGTTTTGTGGTTGTGATGTGAGAAAATAGGAAAAGTTCAAGGGAGGGATGGTTTAACATAGCGCTGAGAATAATTCCCAAGCTTCTACTTGTTCGACAGCCCTCTTGTCTAAAGCTGCCTCCAGGAGGCCTGACTCACCTGTCGAACGGCAGCTCCTGGGCAATGAGATGCAGCTTCTGAATGATATCAGCAGCCTCCTTAATCTGAGGGTTACAGAAAGAGACAGTGCATGGGTGGGCGAGAGAGAGAGCAAGAGAGAGGAGATGTCAGGTGAGGTAGGAAAAGGGAGATAGCACAACAGAACCGTGTGAGGTGGACATTCAGAGAGAAAGTGGGCAGGCCGCCGGCAGTGTCTCCACTTGAGGGATCATCATCTTAAGGCAGCCGCCCTCCACCTTCCTGTGTTAAACAGGAAGCTGATAACAGACAGGCTGCGCTCACCTGGGCATTGGCAGCAGCAGTCCTGACTTAGCAGCACATCCAGCTCTTTACTGGCACGTCTTTTCTGAATGGGCTGTAATCCCACAGGAGGCTAAATCGCTTTCAATAATCTGTCCGGCCAGGGATATCTGTGTAAAAAAGGAGGCCCTATCAATCCCCCCCCCCCTTCCGCACACATCGGCTGAAAAACCCACAGACCTACGAAAGGCCCACCGTCCGCAACTCCTCTGTTCCTCCAGATGCCTGCCTCAGCTAACATCATTACTCTGCTCCCGTGAGGAGGATCCAGCCTTTCTGCTCGGCGAAGGTTTTCTAAGTATCTGTCCCCCAGCTAAGATTAGCTAAATCCCATGTAAGTAATGTAGCCGTCTCCCTGCAGTCAGGGTTTAGCAGCACTTGTCTCCACGCTGGCGGCCCAGCCCTCCCTTTCAGAAGGATTAGCAAAGCCATCCCCCTTCAGCTATTCACTTGCAGCTTTTCTCTTTCCCCCTCATATGGAGGTATGCTCAGGAAGAGGAATCTGGACAGATATTTTTTTTTTGCATGCCTCTCTGGTATACCAGTTCCATCTCAAGATTCAGTCTGTAGGATTGACCCTACCCTCCTTCACTACTTGAAACTGCAAACAGTTTTCGTAGTCGACTATCATGACAAAACTACAAAAATCTAATTTTTAGGAGTCTCTATTTCCCCATTATCAAGGCTCTATGCAACATGTTTGGTTTTCACTGCCTCCCTGTGTACCGTCTAGCTTCCCGCTACTTCGAGGAAAAAAACAAAACAAACAAACAAAAAAAAACCAACAATATATTCTCTGTCTAAGACATTCTACTAAAAAAACTAATTTGTTTTGACATCCGCATCTTGACATCCAAGCTCATCAATCAACCAGCTATTGTCAGATAGTTTTATTAATCCAAATTAGCCGAGGGATCCAACCACAAGGATAAAGTTGACAAATTAATGAGGGCGGGTTACCTCCTAATCCTGTTCATACTCACCTCCAGCACGCAGCAGGGGCCTTTAACAGTGGTCTTCTTCACTCATAAACATATGTAAACACAACACATCTAGGTATATGTGAAAGAAAGTAGTGTTTTGCTGCAGCTTTACCTTCTCTGGGTTATTAAAGACGTCGCTGCGTAGCTCGCCATCCAAGAACTCATTGAAGTAGGTCATGAGCCGCTGCGCTTCCACGGCCCTTTGGCGAGGAGTGTTCACCCCTTCCAACTGGTCGCCAAGATGACACACCTTGGTGGCCACGTAGCTGATGTGCTCATCGAGCTCTTGGAAATGCTGGAAAGCCACCTGAATGGAAACGGAAGGGGAAAAAAATTATGTAAAGAGGAAATGCAGGACGTCACACAATAGGATTGCAACTGCATCCGCAGATGACGGTAAAAAAAAAAAAAAAAAGAACATGGATAAAGTAAACCGAGGCTAACCTTCAACCTAAACAAAACAGGAAATGAACAGTCCAATTAACTTTACATCCTTAATAATGTAGGAACGGAAACACCTATGAAGAAGATAACTGTCGGCAAGATCTCTTGATTTATTCATTCAACTCAATAAATATGGACGAACTGAAGATTTGCTTTTCCTCCTTGTTGTTAACTAAAACATCCATCTGACGTTTTTTCTATAAAAAATTAGGAACAAGTTACAAATTTTCAAAAACACAAATCACAAATGTATGGGTATGAATCAAATTACACATCTACAACACCTGATTAAGCTGTTACACTCATTTTGAGTTTGGTGGAAGTAACGCACCTGGGATTTTACATAAAGAAGAGCAAGAAGATCATAACCAAACCATTAATTAAACTTTATATCTTTTCTCAAATATTGTTTTCAATGCGTGGGCTGGATAAAGTTTGATTGATGGTTCTGTTTTGGTCTTCTTCTTGTTTAAAGGGTACAAACTGACGAGTTTGAATCTAAAAGCCCAGATGTTCGTACTCACAAATTTGAGATTTGAGATGTACTACTAGCGAATTGTTGCAAAGCTCTAACTTTTAACCCTGTATCAACGTCTAAGCTTGTAGTCTCACAGATGGACCATCTGATGTCACACAATTCCAGCTTTTTTTTAATTGTCATTACACTGTCACAAGTACAGAGCAACAAAATTCACTCTCTGCATTTAACCCATCCCCTTGGGGAACAGTGGGCTGCGCCCCCGGGAACAGTATGAGGTTCAGGGTCTTTGCTCAGGGATCCAGAGTGGCAATCTGTGGGAGTGAGGGTTAAATTCAGAACCTCTGGATTCCAAGCTCTATGCCCTTACATCTAGGCCACAACTCCCCTAAACATTTGGGCAAGTTGACAACAAAGAACATTCTTACATTTATTCATGTTAATTTACTAACATTTTTTTACAGTGACCTAAGTATTCTTTTTTTAAGGTTATCTCACCTCATACACCTCATAAACCTCATAAACACCATGCTCATATGTCTGTATGAGTAAAAACTGTTTGAAGAGAGTAGCTCAATTTAAGTTGGAGCCGGTTTATTATTTCCAGATACTAGTCCTCAATTTATGCTGGAACTTTAAAGTTATGCTTTTGGTATGTTTTTTTTTCTTCTCCATCTTATATTTTTTATTATAGTCGTCTTCTTTTTTCATACAGCCTTTGATATCCAATAATGCAATCATTGCAAATAGATCTAATGTTATTGAATTTCTGCACAGTTTTCCAAATACAGATCTACAACTAGAGATCAGTTTGTTTGTTTTTTTGCTGGTTTTCATAAACTTATTTCCAATGTGTTTAAAGTTTAATGGGGGAAAAACAGGAAAAAGGTAGACTGATATGGAATAATCTGCAAAAACTTTCAAATTTAAAATATCAGCATATGGTTTGAACTTCCTTAGTCAAAAAAAAAAAAAAACAGAAGATGCAATTGAATTTCTACACTTTTCTCACCATAAATTGGGCTCTTGAAATGGGTGGAGAACACCTGTGTTAGTGTGACCAGGGTTAAAGACATCTGGATCAACCTACCTGGTTGCTTCTTTGCAAGTCTTGCACTTTGTGGGCAAATTCCTTTGCTTCACGATGACACTGATGCTCCAGCTTCTCCACCTTCCGCTGGATCTTCTCATCTAGCTGCTTCAGCTCCTCGATGTGGCACTTAAATTCATCACACAGCCTGTGTAGAAAACATACCTGCTCACAGATTGCTCCACTGGTCTAAAAAAAAAAAAAAATACATTGCAAATACAACAGGGAATAAAATTGAGACAAATTCTCAACATAAAAAAGCAATTGATAACCACAAGGTTAGATCTGTCCCACTGACCTCAAAGTTACAGTTAATAGTTACAGAATAGTGTTGAGTGTCTAATTCCTGGGTCCCTTGGCTTAAAAAGCTCAGAGAAGTAGCAGCTTCGTCAGCTTCATTTTAAGAGCCATTAGGACTACAGAGGAAATGTTCTAAGTCAGCACCACATTTCAAGGAGTAGGAAATATCCCGAAATGATGAGTGTATAATCTTCTGACTAATTCCTTCAGCACTGGCTGCAGCTTAAAGTCATCTTCCATCCTCTCCCAACAGACACTTTCTTCCTCAGCTGGTGACTCACAGTATGGTGGCCTCCTCAGATACGTCGTCACTGACTCCTCGCTAAGAGCTTCCGAGGAGGTGCTGGCAACAATTTGTGGTTGAAGTAGATAAAGCGGGATGGATCTACAGTAAAGTTAAAGTGGTGTGGCGTTTTATGCTTACGAGATGCAACTCTGTCCCCAAGTGTAAACATCAGAGAGGCTGAGAGAAAAGCATGCAAAGGATTTGTAAACATATTTATTTTGGAAATTTCTCCCAGCCATCAAAAAAAGTCTAAATCAGCACCAGGAAGCTCAGATTTGCTGTAGAAAAGATTAAAACCTTTAGACAATGTCAAAATTACTAGTTGAAAAACTCAAGATAGTTTATAAGAAAAACCTAAATTAATTTGAAAAAAAAAAGGTTTACGGTAATTAAAATAAACAAACATTGAATGCTTTATAAAGATCTTAATCTACTTCATAAAACGTAAATAAAAAAAAGGCAGAATAATTGAAAATATTTAGTCAAGAGAGTGTAGTAGACAGAAAGGTTCAAGGATGTGTTTAATCCTCCTCACCCTGATGATAGCAGCTTTATGAAAAGTATTCTGCCTAAGATGGCAAAGGACATTCTGAAAATAAACTACTAGTAGACCGATGTTTTTTATTAGATTTTTTGAAGTTACATTTGAAATTATTTTTTCCTAACCTATATTTTGTAGCTAATTTTTAGATTAATTTGATCTAGTAATGCATGATTTTTTCTGTGCTGTTATATTCTGCTTGTGTAAAGATACTAAAGCATCTTTAGTATCATCATTATTAGCAGCAAACTGACTGACTCATAAACATGGATCACATAAACATTTGCTGCAGTTTGCAACCGTAAACTAGGACTTTTTTTTTTTGCTAATTATTTAAATTTACCATCCGATAAAATGTCTAAACAACTTTATTTGAAAGAAAACAGGTAAAGTCAATTGTTGAAATTAAAGTACTTTTTTACCATTATTCAAATATTAATTGACCAACAAATGGTAAAAAGAAATTACTCTTCTAATCCAGCAAATCTAAATGAATTAATGTTTGATTACATGAAAATCTAAGATTATAAATTTGTGAGAAAAACTTTACTAAGAACAGAGTCTCTCATGCAACATAATGATATTTTGAAATGTTAATCTTTAAGATGAACTGGCTTTGTTTTAAATCGGTTTTTATCAATAAACTTGATTTGACTTCACATGTTTCTGAAGAGTTTTGGCAGATGTATTAAGAAATATAGCCATAATTAATAATATAGATTAGTTCTAAATGACCAGTTCAATTGACTGGAAGGTCAAATTATTAGATAACTGAACACCTTCTAGCATTTTCAGTCTACAACCATCAGTTGACACAAAATATCTCTCTACAATTAATTATGTTCAGTAAAATAAAGATAGAAGATAAAGGAACAGTCTGATAAACAATATTAGTAAGATGTTCAACAGATTCATGTGTTGAAACAAATAAAATAAAAAAGCAATAAAAGAACTTTTATGCTACATGTTTGATCTTTGGAAAGTTTAATAGAAAAAAAATATCAACACAGAGGCGGAATGCTAAAAACTTAAATTAAACGTTGATTAAAACCTGCAACTGACTTGTTACAGTTGATCATATCAGCTAAAAGAGAAATGAAGACATTGGACACGTTCAGCACTATAATAAGAAACCGAAACATAGGGTAACTTCTGAATAAGGATTTAAAAAAGAAACAAAGTAAACATTGAAATTAAAAACTAAAATTAAGACATCCAGATTCTTGTATGTGATAAATAAGCATGACAGGAAAGATTGGGGGAAGGAATATATCTCCAGTGTTCTGGTTACGTTTATTATACCATCCTTATTATACCAAGTCTGACAAACAGATAAGTAGATATATTTTAATTTCATCACTTTTTACGGAATTGAAAACAACCATTTTTATACAGGCTTTATACAGGAATGAATAACTCACTTAATGCTGTTTAATGCTCTTTTAATGCCAACAACAGGTACCCGTTGACAGGCTGCAGCCATGTCTCGCATTACTCTTTTTTCCAGCCACTTTTGTTGAAATTGGCATTTTTCCCCCCATTCTCTAGCTTTTTCTAACCATACGGCTTTGCGAGTTCCACACAAATATATTGTGAGATAATATGTTTGACGAAATTGTTTTTATAAACAGTTTTTTAAAAAGAAATCATTTTAAATGCCACAATAAACACATTTAATGAATTTTAATGCCAATTGAGGCCTTAATTTAAAAAAAGTTATAATTTAATGATATTTAATGATTTTTAATGACCCGCGGAAACCCCGTTATAAAATAAATTGCAGCAGTCTTTTTTGATTCAAAAACAATGAGAAAGATTTTTTTGAAAACGTTAAAATAGGAAATTATTACAAAAAAACCTCGGAATCCACATTGGTATTTTTGAATCTATAATTGTACAACTATGCACTTTTACTGTTCAACAGCATCTTTTTTAAGATAAATGTTTAATAAAAGATAATTTTAACAGTAAATGTATGGCTTAAAGGGGAATTTAAGGAAAGCTTTTGCATCTATTTTCTACCTTTTGGGATCAAAAGCCTCAGCTCCTCCTTTAGAGCCTCCACCTGGAGTCCTCCATGCCAGCCTCTCAATGTACTCATCTGCGTCAAAAGGTTCCTACATGAAAGTGGAAAAACACAGTGAAATACTGAATAGACCTTAGCATGAGCAAGCCAAAAGATTCCCACTGAGAAAATACAAATAAAACAGTTTATAAAATATTTAAATCACAGCTGGGATTTTCCTGCACGCAGTCAAAAACATCTCCAGGAAGATGTAATAAGTCGCTCTCTTTTCACTCAAATTTTAAGAATGAATTGCATTTTAACTGGACTAGTCCTTACAAACCTGTATTTACACATAGTAAAGCTCAATTAACATCGTAAGCAGCCGCTATAACAGTTAACCATTAGTTAGCCTACTAGCTAGGACAGCCTCCAGCTGTTGTTTTTACCTCGAACAATTGAGCAGTGGTCGCCATATTCACGATTCCCCTCACAGATCCGTTAATTTAACTGATAAGACAACCAATAAACAGTCAGCTATCGCGCCGACTTTTGCTTGGGGCTGTTTTCTCCTTTCAGTTTTGCCCTTTGTTGACAGTTAGCTGGTTAGAAATGCAGCTTCCTGTATGGGAGGGAAGGGTGGGGACGGGGACAGATAAGTGCCGCGCGAGCCTGAGCCGACGCGATTGGCCGGTTCATTTATGCGGCGCTCAGAACTCATCTTTTTAGTTATGTTGATTTAAATCTTCCTTTAATATATATCTGCTCTGTAACTTTCTTAGAGATTTGTTTGTGGATATGTATGAATAAACAGTATCATGAAGACCAAAGAACACAGCTGACTTTCAAAGAGAATTGTTCTATTTAAACTTTATTATGGACTCGAAGTCCAATTTCCAGGTTTTAAGACATCACATTAAAACTAAAGTATTTACTTAAATATAAAACTACCAAAGCACGACAATCCACCTAAACTGACAGCCCAAGATAGGTTTCAGCTCAAAGCAGCAGCTGCATATATCCAATAATTTGGTGGGAGAATATGTTGACAAGTGGGTTGTTCTTTACTTTGGATTTTATTTAGTGGTAAATCAAAGTAAAGTGGACTGAATACATATACATTTAACACCGACTTTTCAGAGCCAATCAATATGTTTTTTCCCCCCCTGACACTACAACTATGTATCACAATGAGCTGCTATGCAGAGGTGAGCCAGAAGATTTTCATAAGGATGGCCAGACAATAACCAATGTACACTGAGGGGTGGCTGAAAGTGGATAGGCGCCAGAACCTCAGGGTCAATCTACACTGTTCCAACAGGAAAATTAATAAGCAAAACATTAATATTTTCTAAATAAAGACAAACTATATTTTCCTACAGCCTTTGCTAACAAGTAGACGCATATATTTAATCATCCGTGCTATCTAAATAAAGATATAGTGGATACAATTCTTTCAGTTTTGAGATCTGGGGCGTAAATCTTTTCCATTGTCATTATTTACCTACTTGTATCAATAAACATCCTGCTTAAAATTGATATTTACAAGCACTAATATCTACATAAATTGATTATTTGATAAGTTTTTATTAAAATTGTTATTTATCTATGATTTCACTGAAGACTCCCAGATGACTTGCAGAAACACATTTTCTCTTTACCCCATATAACACAAAATGTAGTTCTGAAAGGAGCATGAAATCTGTTTTTATCACGTTTGCATATTGATGCATATAATTAACCAAAAAAAATGTAAATGTTTTGAATATTCCACTTAAGAGTATTACTGCTGCCACAATCTGTGTTAGAGGGGGAAAAAAATGTAGGGGTGGCCACCCCTGGCCCCCCATCTAGCTCCACCCCTGCTGGTATGTCACATAAGTGTGAATAAAATATATAAAAGTTTATGACTGTTAAAAATGTTAAAGAACATCAATGATTTTGAATTAAACAATAAAAGCGAAGCAATGTGCAATGAAACAAACAGAATAGGAATAATGGGCAAAGCAGAGGCTGTTTTTCTTTTTAAGCTTTGGTAGAATTATTGCACTGAATAATTCTAAAACTGACCGATGTCTAAGGGAAATACTTCAATCAGTTAACGTTATCTACTTAAATAAATAGCTAAATCAATCTTAAAGTTAAAGTTACTCAAAGCCTAAAACGCGGGTCTTGGTGTTGAACTAAATCAAATAACCCAGATCTCAGAAAACAGACGGAATTCCCATCTCTGGCACGTTCCCCTCATGTTGCGCATGCGCACGGGTCAGCTGGTTATCGGCGGTAGTCACGTGAGAAAACAACAGGAAGTGAAGTGCTGCATTAAGAGACTATGGACATGGAACAGTTAAACAGGCTCTAAAGAAGGTAAACATTAATTTATATATGCTAGGGAGGCTTTTACAGCTGCCAGGATGAGTCTTCGAGCTTTGTGGATTATTTCCCATGAAAAAGGAGAAAATGCATCAGTTCGGTTCTCAAGGTCTGTAACTTCCCTTTGATTGTTTTACTCTCTATGCACACACTGACTTTTTGTATAGATGATTAAAAGAAGATCGTTGGTTTTATATGAAATCTTTACTCTCGGTGCTTAATGTGTTTTATTATTCTCCCAACAGGAGGTTTGCTACTGTGGAGCACCGTTATAAAAGCCTAGCAGGTTCCTCCTATGTATCAGTCCCAGAGGACAGTAACTTCCTGCAGCTCCTGCTCACTGAGCTGGGCCTTTCCAGATCTAACAAGAACTTCGTAGCTGCCAGGGATGATTGTCTTTACCGCCCACGCTCACCAGCTGTGGAACTGTGTTTGGATGGAAAGAAAACTCTGTGGCCTGTGTTGGCCCTCTCTCAGGGGCCACTCATCCTGGCTTGCCTCCCACTAGTGGATATCCCCTCAGAGTCACGGCCACCTTTGGCCAGCCTCCTGTCAGTGTCACAAGGTCTCACACTTCTAGCTGGTCTTCAGGCCTTTCTCTTCAGCTCAGGAGGAAAGCTGGATAATGAGGGGCTGGTCGCTCGTGTTGCAGCGCTTCCATCTCTCCTCTTGCAGATTTGCCCCCTTGGCACGCCCCTTGATATTCCTCTTGTAGGAACACCTGCTACGCCCACTGTGCCCACCTCTGCTGTCAACCAGAAGCAGCCGGCGTGGAAGACAGGCCTACATCGTGGCCGCCCCACTGTGAATGTAGCAGTGGTTGAAACTGTACGATCTATGCAGTTTGGGGACCAGAGTAGACAGGACCTGTGGGATGTTTATGGGACTGTAACCTGCAAAGTAAGTGTGAAGAAAGCAGTTATAGTTCTCCTCACCGCATAAACATTCTCTCATATTACACCCACAAACTTTAATACACATTATATGGATTTCTCTTCCAAGACAAATTTAGCGTTTACTAATATATTTTTCTACCTCCTTTTTCATACATTTCAGTTATATTTAGTGCAAAGTAAAAAGGTGCAGCTCCTTTAGACATGATGTGAGCCCCTTGGCTGCATCAGTGATAAAACACATTATACATTTTAATGAGACTGAATACATTTGCTTTCCACACAGAAATCTGACTGAATTTAAGCACCCCTTCTCTAGGCATGCTGACAACTCTAAGTGCTTTCACCCAAACACACTAACACGAACTGATCTGTTGGGAAATAATAGTTGAGTTCCTTTTCCAGGAGCACATCAACATGTGAAAGGAGGAAGCTGGAATCAGCAATCCTACTCTTCCTGTTCTGTTTTTACCATAAATCCTTCCTCAGCTTTCACAGTTATTCCCCATTCTGTTACTATCTTCAATTGAATCTGAACAAATACATCAAAGTTTCTGGCTTTGGCATCCCAAAATGTTAGAAAGTCCTTTTTAAACACTTTTTAAAATGTACTGTCACTTCATAACCTCTATATCTGTCTTATTCATCACTGTTCTTTCATCAGTGTGAAGTGGAGGGGGTGCTACCAAACGTCACTGTGACCCTCTCGCTGCCACACAATGGTTCTCCACTGCAGGACATCCTAGTCCATCCCTGCGTGACCTCCTTAGATTTAAGTATCCTGACCGCCAGCAGCCTGGATAACGCCGACGGCTCGGCTTTCTCTGGGCCATACAAGTTTCCCTTTTCCCCTCCTCTGGAGCCATTTAGACTTTGCAGCTACACGTCACAGGTATACACCTCAGAAGAAGACCAGAGACTTTATGAGGCGTTCAAGAGAATGATCAAATGTTGAACTTTCCTTCCAGGTGCCTGTTCCACCCATCCTTGGCTCATATCAGCTTAAAGAAGAAGAGAATAGCCTTCGTGTGAACGTATCCCTCAAACTCCATGAGTCTGTGAAGAACAGTTTTGAGTTCTGTGAAGCACTCCTGCCGTTCTTCAACAGGTTGGCAGCATCTGCTCACACCTTATAGAGTATATCTTCTTTTTTTGCTACATTAGCATTTATTCACTAGTTATTAGTCAGATAAAGTGGTAACTGATCTGAGCAGGCCAGGCAAAAGTAAGCTGGGACATTTTAAAGGCCAGTATTTGATTTCACACCAGCTAAATGCAGTTTTCCCAGACCCGATTTCATGCATAAAATGACAAACAACATAATAATATCATAATCACCTTTAACTAGCCTTTCTTGTTGTTATAATTTCTAATTTCTATGTCAGTTCTGGTCAAATTTATTAGGAGTTATTACTGAGGAGCATGGGCGGTTCTAGAAAGGGGCCAACAGGGGCCAGTATAGACTTAAACTTAGACTTAACTTTATTTATCCCTAGGGATTACTCCTTCAGGGAAATTCTGGTTCCAGTAGCTTATATAGAGTACAAAGAGTTAAAGCATGATGCCATTAAAGGTAAAAATACGACAGATGATACAAAAAGAGTGTATATAGTACAAAAAAGTTGTAAAGAGTTGTAATGTCGTGGAATATGGTTTAGATATAAAAATATCCGCACTGTAGAGAGCTAAGGGAAGATTACATAGTAGTTGACTTGGATTATTGCAGCGATGTACTGACCTTATAAATGAGTAAAAGATTACACAGGCTACAGGTAATTAGCATGTATTATTGCACAGTGAGAGAGAAGATTATTGCACCTGAGTGACAATTGGTAATGTTTTCCACAAGATGTCCAAGGAGGGGGGTGCTGACCCTTGTCCTTCTTTCTATCACCTCCTCCTTCTCCCTGGTGAGGAGTTGTACAGCTAGATGGCTTTCCGTATGTCGACATGCTTCTGCATGCTTCAGCGTGCTCATAACTTATGCAAAACATTCCCATAACTTATCCAACGTATGTCTGCGTTTTTTTTGCCAGATTTTCCGTACGTCAGGCATATGCTGGTCTAAATCGTCAAGGTGTGACAGGGGCTTTAGAGGGACCCCCAGTATATTATAAACCTAGTAAATATGCAACCAGTTAACCAATTTTAAACCTCTGATTTAACACAAGTCTATTTGAATATGAATGTGTTTCCTTCTGTGTGCAGTTTTTATGTTTTTTATATTTTTGTTCTGCTAAACTTTTCGTTTATTTTCCAGAGAAATTAGACTAAAACTGAAGAGTGTGTATAAAGTATAAATCAGAAATACTGGCTTACCATTTTACCATTTTAAAAAAGATAATCTATATCATTGTCTGTCTTAAGA